TAACAGTGAACTAAAAGATATGCAACCTCGTCATTTGTCACTGTTGTTGAAATGCAGACTTTTTACCTCCTCCTGAGGAATGTTTCACCTGTGCAGGTAGAACAAATGTGGGGATTTATAGCTGAAGTTGTGGATGCCTCCTGTGGAGATGTATTACCCATATTCCAGTATAGGGAATCCATGCAAAGTAAAACAAAGTGTGCTGCTTTTATACCCATAGTGCTTCAAGCACTTTCTGTACAGTTTATAATTTAATTATGTAGGTTACATATTGCCCCTCCCCGCCCCCGTGAACTAGGCACTCAATTTAGTGGTCTCATAAAGATGTAAGGTTCAATCAACCTTGATTCCTGGGTCCAGGATTGAACTCAGGTTAAGAGCAGAATCTTCACTGCAGTACTGCAATTTAACCCTGAAGGTTTTCCACATGATTTAGAATACAGGAAAACCACAGTTCCAAATCATGTGGAAATTCTCACTCTTCCATTTAAATGTTGGTTTTCATGGGTATAGAATAATGGAAATAACAACAGAGTTAGGGATAGCCACAAACCATCACTTGAAACAACAGTCATCATGTGGTTTATGATTATATCTATAGGCAGAATTGTAGCCCAGTACAATTCATAAGAGCTTAAAGTGTGGAGGAGAATGTGGAGCCCATATAAATCCCACTTTTAATGATGTCCATGCATGTTGGCTGCACTTCAGATGTCCCATTGATACAAGCCTGCCATGGTCAGGAACACTGCTTTATTTTCACAGACCTTCATATTGAACCCCACGTGCATTAATTCTAGTGTTTTCATAGACCTGTAGTCTATGTGAATGCATAATAAATGGCTTTTTATGAAGAGATTCCCTGGTCTATACAATATGTACTACAAAGAGAAGATCTTGTGCAAATAGGTTTTACGTACTGTTGATCAAAACTTACATTTCTGCTTTAATTTGTTTCTCCTTCCCTCACTTGATTCTTACTTTTTTGCAGTGTGTGTGTGTGTGTGTGTGTGTGCGCGCGCTTTACATTACAGGAGCTTCTTAGCACTCCTAAAAGGTTTCTAGAAGGATTCTCCATCCTATTCATTATCCCTCAGATGCTTTTCACAAAATCTTCATGGGTTTAGACCTATAGAATGGGATGGAAACTTAACTTGTTACACTCAGTTCACACTGAAATCAGTGTGAAAAGTTAGTGGTTCTATTTCAAGGGGACCTAAGCACAACTGAGCATTGATCAACTGTTGGTGTATTATAGGAGTTACAGAAAAAATCCTACTGAATTCAGATTTCATGACTGCCAATAATTTTCTGCCTATCCATAGGTTGAGATCTTTCTGGGTCAGCCCTGATCTGCAAAATGAGACTAGTAATATATCATGCCTTGTGGAGTCATTGTAAGCATTATTTAAATATGCATACAACACTTTTCCTAATACAGTGGTGCCCCGCATAGCGAGACTAGTAATATATCTTGCCTTATGGAGTTGTTGTAAGCATTATTTAAATATGCATACAGCACTTTTCCTAATACTATAAAGCTGCAATTCTAATTCAGTGGAGTGTAAGATCCTTCAATATAGTGGGCCTTGCTTCCAAATCAATATGCATAGGACTGTACTTTAAAGGCCCTTATATATACCAGGTACCACCAATATAAATACTGTATTTTTCTGTGTATAAAATGATACTTTTCTCTAAATTTTTTAGAAAAAAAATGAGGGTCATCTTATATGCAGAAATAAGCTGAGGAGAGAATAAAAACAAGTGGAGGGAGAAAGGCATCAAAGCGATCCTGCCACACTTTGACTGCTGCTTTCCCCTTCAGTTGCTAAGCCCCATGGGCCTTAGCAAGTAGAGGGGGAAAGCAGGGATCAAGGCGCTGCAGGATCGCTTTGATAGCTGCTTTCCCCTCCACTTGCTAAGCCCCATGGGGCTTAGCAAAAGGAGAGAGAAATGGATCAAAGCAATCCTGTGGCTTCACGAGGGGAAAGGGATCAAAGCGATCTTGCAGCCGCAGGATTGCTTTGATCCCTTTTCCCCTCCACTTGCTAAACTCTGCTTACATTTTTAAATGTGGGGTTAGAAAAGGGGGGGTGTCTTATACATCATGGTCTCTTATACATGGAAAAATATGGTAACTGTGTTGTCAAGTCTCACCTATGGTGACACTTCACATGGTTGCTTAGGTATAAAATAGTCACAAATGGTTTACCAGTCCCTTTTTCTGGAGCCACTAAAGGACTGTCAGCTTGCCCAGGGCCACACATATTTATTTATTTATTAGATTTATACCCCGCACCATCTAGCAACCAGACCACTGTGGGTGGTATACTGGATCTTCTCATGAGAGGCACAGCGGAGAAGCTAACTCCTGATCTTTGGTTCTTCACATGAGTGAATTATCCAGCTAGCTCACAGTTCTGAATTAATACGTTTTTTTAATTATGCTTTTTGGTCAATCAGCAACAATACTAAATGGGATCTATCAATATAGTACAAAAGAAGCCAGTGTAGTATAATGGCTGGAGTGCTGGATTAAGAGCAGTTTCAAATTGCTATTTGGGTAAGTTAATTATAATAATCACTGCATATTCATAATTATTGTTTCTCATCCCTTACTTCACAGGGTTCTTATGAGGAAAACAGGAATACCATTGCCTTGAACTCCTTAGAAGATAAAGGGTTACAAATGCAGTAAATGAATAAAAAATAATACTCTAAAATAGTTCATGTATGTTTAAAATCACCAACAAGTGTCAAAACAACAGAGTGATATTCAAACCACATCCGACTCATGTCAAAATAAGCATTTCTGCATATCTTTCCAAAATCGAAGGCTCTCTAAGAGTTCCCAAAAGTCTCTGTAAAAACTAGCATGTCAAGTTCACCATGGAATTGAACTGGAAGAGAGGAAAAAACAGAATACAAAAAATATTTTTTTAAAAAAAACGATTGTGGGTAATTACAACAGCTTCCAATTGTAACAAAGTGTTTCCAAGGGTACATCTGTCTGTAAGTCTATTACAACAAATTGTGAAAGACAAACCGATTTATTTTAACACGACATTTCTAGGTTATAATTCACTTCAAATACATGCGCAGCAATGTCAGAATTCCAGCAGTCATGTATACTGTATGGTACAATGTGGAAGAACAGTTGCTTCGTAAGTTTAAACCAAGTGACTACGGGATTGGTTAGTAAGACATGTCGATTCTTTCGTGTCCTTTTTCAACCACTGGGGCCCTCTCTCCCTTAAGGCAGGAGGGAGCAGCTGATCTGGGGCATCACGAAAGGGCAGCATGTTGTTAGTGATTTATTTCCTTGGCATCCCTTTATTAACGCTAAGAAGATGACCTCGCGGGATTGCTTGGCCTTCCTCCCGAAAGTATCTTGGCGCGTATCTTTGCCAGGTCCGCACCTTGACTTGGCGGGCCGTGCCGGTGGGAGAGCGCCGCATGCTGCTCGCTGTCCTACCTCCGGCAGCAAAGGCGCTGGGGCCGGCCCTAGTGACCTCCTAGGAAGGTCCCAAAGTTGTAGGGCGAGCGAGAGAGAGGCAGCCACCCCCCCCACACACACACCGCCCGGCTTTCTATTCTCTGGCAGCACACCAGGTTAGAAGACGAGCCCGAAGGCTTTGCTCCAGAGAGCCTTGGCGACAAGAAGCGCCGCTCTTTCTCTGTCACACAATGAGGCGGCCGGTCGTGAGGCGAAAAGGAGGGCGGGAGGACGGGGCCGCGGAGGGTGTGTGTGTGTGTGTTGGTGGCCGCGGCGGCGGGTCCGTCTTCCACAGAGCCCTCCCCCTCGTACCTCCCACCGTATTCACTTGCAAATCGCTGGATGCCTGGAAGAGGCGCTTTCCCTTTTCCCTCGCCTTCAACCTCCCCATAGTCAGCCGCAGCTCCTGAGGCGCGGCAGTGAGAGCCGCGGCAACGGAGCGAGCCTGAGAGAGCCTATGTGTGGTGGGTGAGGGACCGAGGGAAAGCGAAAGCCGGAGGCTGTGGGGTGGGTGGGGGGCGCCGGGAGGGGGTGAAGGCTAGACGGACACGGACAGGACATTTCCTTCTCCCTCCGAGGGCTGAATGAAAACCCAGTCAAGCCGGGAGCCCCGCGGGCTTCCGCTCGCCCTCCAGCCCGAGTTGTAAAGTGATGCTGGACGAGAGAAGGAGGGAGCCCCCGGTCCATGCAAGTAGCTCCAGTCTCACTAGCAGCAGCAGCAGCGAAGGAGGAGGAGGAGGAGGAGGAGGAAGAAGAGGAGGAGGAGGAGGAGGGAGACGGAGAAGAGGCGCCGTTGCTAACAACGCTGGCGACAGTTTCTCCTTCTGGCAGCCAGCCAGGTTAGAAGACGAGCCCGAAGGCTTTGCTCCAGAGAGCCTTGGCGACAAGAAGCGCCGCTCTTTCTCTGTCACACAATGAGGCGGCCGGTCGTGAGGCGAAAAGGAGGGCGGGAGGACGGGGCCGCGGAGGGTGTGTGTGTGGGGGGTGTGTGTGTGTGTGTTGGTGGCCGCGGCGGCGGGTCCGTCTTCTTCCAGAGAGCCCTCCCCCTCGTACCTCCCACCGTATTCACTTGCAAATCGCTGGATGCCTGGAAGAGGCGCTTTCCCTTTTCCCTCGCCTTCAACCTCCCCATAGTCAGCCGCAGCTCCTGAGGCGCGGCAGTGAGAGCCGCGGCAACGGAGCGAGCCTGAGAGAGCCTATGTGTGGTGGGTGAGGGACCGAGGGAAAGCGAAAGCCGGAGGCTG